ATTACAGTCTGAATTACACTACAGATGAGCAGGGCTTTTGGAGGAAGGCTTTCTGATAGCAGTAATAAATGACTTGGGCCAGAACCAAGGACAGTTCCCAGGAGTTTAAGTTGCTCTGGTCACATAGGGAGCCTGTAGTAAAATGAAGCTTAGCAAACTGAAAAGTTAAGAGAAAGGATGATAATCATTAGCTATCAATACTTAGATGAATCTCTCCATCTGTTCTATTTAACTCATAATATTATATATTAATTCTACACATATTCTAATATGTACTTTGATTTTTTCCAGACTAATACCTTTACAATGAATGATGCCTAAGATACCATTCTCATATATTGAGTCACATACTACACAGTTCTAACCCAGTTTAGTATGTTCTTTGGTGAATTCTTCATTTTGAAGCCCTTTAGCCCTAAATTTTTAATACAGTACTAAATCTTACGACAGCCAGGCAAATAGACCTGAGAAATAACATAGAATAGTGATTGGAAACTTGACCTTTGTGATTAGAACAGGGTTCAAATTCTGCTTCATTTACTTACTGTTTGTGTGACTATGAGCTATTTATCAGTCCCTAATTTATTTCTAAGCTTTAGTGTCCTCATCAGTTAAGAGGAAATAACAGAATGACCTTTGGGGAAGAATTAAGTGATATAATACATCGTTCTATGTGCCAGGCACATTTCCAACTCTCAGGAATATGGCTTCAAACAGTATGGCTAAGTCTTTGTACTTTTGGAGCTTCTATTTTAGTAAGAGAACAAAACAACACAACAGTAAATAGTATTTTAATTCTGAAGTGCTGTGATGGAACAGACCTTCCCCCACCCCCCGCAAAAAAGGACCTTTAAAGGAAGAAGAGGATACTGTATTTACATGAGGACATCAGAGAAGTCTTTTTGATCTGGTAACAACACATTCCTGCTGCTTGAACCACCGGTGGTGCATGCATGGCTCTTATTGGACAGCTTGTACCCCTGGTGGTTCAAATGGGTCTATTTGCTTTTATTGGTCTTTTACTAATAAAATTAAAAAAAAAAAAAAAACCTGCCTGATGGGACAATCATGCATATCACCAATGATTCATGCCACCTGGCAGCAGGACATATGAATTACAGCCTCATCATGGATATTTACACTGAAAGCTGAACACCAAGTGAGCACTAAAATTGCCTGCCCTCAGTTTGAGTCATAAATACTGTAACATATCTCTTAAATATGAAGAAATATGTCATCTCTTCTTAATTTAGAGGAATGCTTTTCCACTCATTTGCTGGCTGTGTTTCTCTTTAACTTAAGGTTTAAGAACTTAAGAGTACTTTAGAAGACTCTTCTTCAGCTGCACAAGATCTTGCTATTCAGATGAAGTAGAAATAGTGAAGAGAGTATTATTTTTAATGTTACCCCAGTGAGGAGAAAAAAAAGGAGATGGAAAGTAGAAAAAAGGAAAAGAAGACTTGCTTCATCCTTTTGCTTCTTTGCATTTTAGCATACAGTCACTGGCCTTGTATGATAAATTCCACCAAATTAAATAGGCGTTCTATACATCCTTTTCGGATATCAGAAAACCACTTGACTGTCAGGTTTTGGAGATTCTGACCTAAGAATGACTGAATCAGTGGTTATTGTCTTCTCTGCTTTGTCCGCTCTCACACTCTTGACTTTGGTCTAGTGGAACTGATTCTTAGTTGTTGTTTAAGTCAGAACACTCAAGACAGTAAGAGGAGCTAAAAGTTTTCTGGTTTATTTATCCAGCAGTATGACTTTAAATAAAACAACCTAAGACTGGTTTCTTTCATATTTATTTAGAACCTTAGAAAAATTATGTTAAGTAGAACCATAAAATATTATGTGATCAGGATTCTAATTTTAGGTAAAAGTAAGATTATTGTGTTGGGTATGTGGAAAGATGCTTATTTGTGTTTTGTAATTCCAATAGAAGTAGTTGTATGAGAAAGTCTTAAATATAAATCCAAGGCTCAGGATAATAAAATTGAGGTTTTTGTTCATGGACTAAAACATTGTTGTGATACTTTCTGTGGGAAGAATCTTAAAGTTGGAATTGGCTCTAATTTGATTGTATCATTATTATTGGTTTTTTTTTTTTTTTTGTTGTTTTTTGGTTTTTCTCTGGTATCGGGAACCAAACTCACGACCTTGCGCTTGCCAGGCAGGCACTTTGCCGCTGAGCTAAATCCCCAGCCCCTATTATTGGGTTTTTAAGTTATATTTCTTGGTTGTAGAGAAATTTTGAGTGATTTTATATTTTCTTGTCTGCACCCATGTACACATAGTCTTGGGTGGTCTGCAAAAATAAGTGAACCAAGAAAATTTATTCTGATAGACTCTTGAAAGAGAGCGAACAGTTCAGTCCTGACTCCTGGGTTACAACTAAAATAAATATTACATGATTCTGGGCAGTCTGCTAAGTCTTAACTCTAGTATATTCAGCCAAATTTTAAAATTCTGATTACTCCTTAGGAATACATTTTTGGCTCTTAATGTATTCAGCTAAGGTTTATTGTTCCAAATCATTTTGCTTGTGTTAACATGTCTAATCCTCCCAACATTCTACTGATGTGGAAACCAAGGCAGAGTGATGTTAAATCTAGACGTCTACCCTCTTAGCACTGTAAGATTGGTATTAACCATAGTGCCACTTTAAAATATGGTACAATTTAATCTGTGATGAACAGCTATAAAAACTACCTTGAACACAATAATTAGAAGGTATTGGCAGAGGGGCTAGTTTTCAGTTAATGATTTAAGAGGGTTTTTGGGATTTCTCTCTAATTTAGGGAAGATGGAATATTAACATATAAAAGTAAAACACTTAGCTAATTATTTGAAAGAGTAATATTATCTTAGAAAATGGTTTGACACAGTACCAAACCAATAATAAACTATTTTTCCCTACAAATAATAAACTATTTTCCCTATAAATAATAAACTATTTTTTCCCAATAAAGATTGGCCAGTATTAAATACTTAGTACTACAAAGTATACATTTTATTTTCTGTTTTAATGTTTAAAAAATTCAACAATCATGGAAATAAGAGCCATCATTTTTTATCCTATTGACATTTTACCTAATGGGTAATTCTTTGGCATAGATTATTACTCACTTTAATCAATAGATAAATACCTATTTACAAGCATTTGTGTTCATAAATCAGACTGCTAAAAATTTTTCAAGTGAGTTCTACAAGTTCTACAAGTTGTTTGAGTACCCAGATCACATGGGGAACTACCCTCTAATAGTTTAGCATGTTACTATTTATCCAGAAAAACTTCTACTAAACCCTTAGGTTTCCTATGCAAACACATCAGTACCTGAGCTTTGTTGCAAGCTCTCTTTAGAGGCAGCTATTTTTACTCAGTGAACTAGTGTAGGGTCAGGGTAGGTAGACCAAGCTGCAATTGAGAGCTGCAGTTTAATTAGGTTCCATTACAGTCATTCAAACTTATGAGCTGAATTTTCTGTAAATTTAAATTTGCTGTTAATCTGTTGTGAAGATGATCCATTCTAAATTTGCACATCTGTCTTGTTCTGGAGAAATCTTTAAAATAACTGTATTTGTGTGGTTTAAGAGTATTGTATGATATTTGTCTCTTCAGACAGTAACTTGTGCTCAGAACAAATGAGAAGATGAGGATAGCATTGATTAGAATAGTGAGGAAAAAACACAGCTCATACCTGGAGAGGTAATGAGGTGTGCTGCATGCTGAGCACTTGACTTCTTGGCTGCTTAGGGTGGCCTCGGCATAGGCCCAAAAGGAGGACAGCAAACCAAAATTGGCATAGACTTCTCAGTCATGATTTGTCATTTCTTTTGAAAACTACCACACTATTGGAACAGAGCTAATCACAAATTAGTGTATTTGTGATACACATAGCAGGTTTTCTTTTCATTTGTACTGTGATTATTTTTTCTTGAAAGAAAATTCATTGTTTTAAAATCTATACTGGGATCATATTTTCTGAACTGTATTTCAGGCAACACTAGTGTAGCAAGGTGTGCTAATAGATACTAAATTTTTTAAAAGGGGTTAATCAAACAGTGGGTAATACCTGGTTAATGTATGTTCAACAAGCCAAGTGTGGTGGTACATGCTTGTAATTCCAGCAGTATAGGAGGCTGAGGCAGGAGGATCACAAGTTCAAGCCCAGTCTAGGCAACTTGACAAGATCCTGTCTCAGAATTTAAAAGGAGCTGGATGTTTAGCTTTATGCAAAGGCTCTGGGGGTGTTGGAGGGTGGGGGTTAGCTTTCTGTTAACCATAGCACTATTCAGAACTTTTAGTGTGTTAATGTTTGAGTCTCTAAAAGGGGATAACGTACTATATTTATATAAAATATATCTAGTGTTTCTCAAAGATCTTTGACTAAGTATTAATTAAAGAAAAAGTCACTGGACAGGAAACACTTTGGGAAAGGGTGCTCTGGACTAGGGATTCTCATCCTTAGTCATTGCCATCTTGGGACAGATAACTCCTTCTGTGGTCAGCTGTAGGGTGTTTAGCATCGTTCTTGGCTCTACCCAGGTAGTACTGGTAGCATCTCTCAGTCCCCATCCTTGCTTGTAACAAAACTGTCTCTAGCCTTGCCAGATGTCCCCCAGGGGGCAAAATCTACTTGAGAACTGCTACTGTAGATTAATATTGCAACATTCCAGGGAGTTACAGGTTTTATTAACAGTTTCTATCTGACAGTTTCCTTTCATTAAGGAAGATACAGTAGTCTGGAAGGTGGAACACAGGTTGAGAAAATTCAGTATAATCTACCAAATAAACTTTCTAGGTCGACTTTATATCCTGTCCCCATTTTCTAGTGATTATTAAGTGGTGAACTTACTGCAAAAAATAATTTCAGACATTGTAAAATATTATATGGCGGAGGCATATATAATTTGGTATATTGATATATAATATTATTAAGAGTCCAGATACTTAAGAACAACCATTTCTAAAATTCATTTTTTCCTTTTTTGTGCAGGGATATTTTCTTCTTTTTGAGTCTATGTTAGATTCTGTCCTTTATGCAAAGAACAAATACTTGGCAAAAGGAGGATCAGGTGAGTATAAAATTTTATTGTTAATAATCTAATTTTAGTCTGGACAACTATGCATGGCTGAGAGACTACCCAATAGTGATAAAACATATCTCCATTAGAAGAAACCTTAAGACATCTGTGTATTCTATTGCTGAAAGAGCATTGCATAAGGCTTGCAGAACTCCAAATTAATAGTATTTTCAAGAATACTTATTATTAGAAGGTTTTTTTACAGCTAGGTTTTGGAAGGTTTTTAGTAGTCAGATGAAACTTTAACAAACGCCTTTTCATTTTTAACCCTCATGATATCTGCTTGGTTTTATCCAGTAGCATATTTCATGCTGCTTTGGAGATTATTCACTTTAATGGCAAATGTTCATGATTTCAGTAAATATATAAAGCTGGCTTCTCTGTAATTTAATGATAACATTTAAACAACAACTGCTTGCTTTTCAGTAGTTTTTAGAGCACCATATACCACACAAGTACATAAATAAATCCCAGTAAATGTGGGAAGTTTCTTTTCATGTCTGGAAAACATTTTATCATATTAACTCTGCATCCTCAGAGGAGAGTATGTTTTTGCAGAGATTATGCTTTGTTCATCTTCATCACTTCAGCAAAGTCCACAGCTGCTGGAACATGGTAGAGCAACGTAGTATTTGCTGAATTGAATCGTTAGAACTGAGTTGAACCTGTCCCCTTCACTTCCCTCTCCCCGCACCTTTTCAGAGTTCCGGGATAAATGGTTTCCACGGTCCAAGGACAGGTAGTAAACGCTGCCTGAAAGCAGATGCAAAGGAAGAGTAAGGTTCACGTAATGACCAAGCATTTGACTGTGGTTGTGCCTCCTGCCCATTAGTATCGAATGGAATTCCAGTAGCAGTTATGGTACAGTTAAAAATCAGTGAGGCCCAAAGCAAAGAACAGAGAGGAACTCTCCAGAACAATAGAGCTGTTCTTATAATACCATCTAAGTGGGTTGCTTTTCTTTTTAAAATGTACCCATTTCGTTGATATATTTTCTACAACCATTTCAGATATATTCCTGATCTCCATCATGATCTGGCTAGAATTTTTAGATGTATTTTACCGTGCTACAATTGGCTATATATTTCTATAATTATAGAGGTGGGTCTTTTTAAATAAGGACATTATGATTTGTTGATTGTCTGCTAGCTGTCAAATAATACTCGCTACCTTTGTTCGTTATTAGTTAAAATCCTGAGCCACAGCCCTTTGGAATCATGATAATAGTTTCATAAATGACACCTGTTAAGTGGCCAAGTCTTGCTTTCTTTTTTAACTCTGATCTGCCTAACTCCAGCATTCATGTTATTTTTACTTAATTTTGTTATTTCCCTACTGCAGTATATTTTTAAAAATCTGACTCTTATTATGAAGTTCTGAAAAAAAGGTTCAGATAACTGTTTCCCCACCTCCCTAAATGGTATTCATTGATCTTACTGATGAACCACCAGCCACTTACATTTAAATTGAATTCTTGGTGAAATTCATTAAGAAGCTACAGCAGCATTAACCATGGCAGGACTATTTCCCATTATCAGAAAAAAAAAGGGAGGTCTGTAAGGCTCCTTCACTCCATATTTCTTTGTAACTAATATTAGTGCTAAGATAATCTGGAGGTATGTTCAGAAAAAGTCAGCATTTCACTGCTCTGAGTGGTGCTGTTGAATGTTGGTTGTTAATAAGATCAAGAGGAAAACATCAGCGATGAATAGCCTGAGGTGGTCTAACCTATCTCTGTATGTGAATATGCCTGATTTAGTTGCTTATTCTTGTTATTTTTCAGAAAGAAAGATTTGCTAAGCAAATACTCATGTAAAGCTTTTAGAAAATGATTGCATTGTGAGAGAAGGACCATATGAATATTATGGGTTCATAATTTTTTTTTGTACTGGGATTGAATCCAGGGCCTTTGTGCTGTGCTACATTCTCAGCCTTGTTTGTGGTGAGACCAGGGTCTCATTAAGTTGATGAGACTGGGCTCAAATTTGCCATCCCCCAGTGTGAACGTCCCTGAGCACTGGGGTTATAGTCATGAGCCAGCATGCCTAGGTCCATGATTTATTCCTATGTGGAAGGCCCTGGGTTCAATCCCCAATATCACAAAAAACAAAACAAAAGTTGAATGAATGAGGTTTATGGTGATAGATCCTGTCTGTATTTTGACTGTGGGGTTGATTAAACAAACAAAATCAAAAAGAGTAAGTTTTCATGCATCTACAAAAAAAGTAATAAAATATGAAGGGGCAATTCCCACTTCATTCAGGTCAAATGAATTATGATTTAATTCCTAACTTTTAAGAAACATGTTAAAACTGCTAACTTTATGCCCACCTTTGTGGGGGTTGTTATTATCAATATAGCTACCTTTTTAAAAGGGAGTAAATGCAAGTTTAAAAGTGCAAGGAAAGGGAAAAACAAATACATTTTATCTTTGCTCATGGTAGGAGATAGTAAATACTGCTGAAAACGGAGAAGCAAAGATAGTATATAGGGCCGACTGAAAATAAAGACCTTCTCCATATAGGAATTACTGGGAATGTAGCCCAGTGATAGGGTGCTTGACCAGAATGCCGTTTTAGTCTGCTGTGTATTGTTCCAACTTCAGTGTTCTTTTTCCTTTAACAGGTGGATTTAATCCATTTGTATTTACTCCATGTTAAATATTTTTTGTTCATGACTAATTTCTTTTTTCAAAAGTGGTTTATCACATGACCTTTCACTTTTTCCTTATGTATTTTTATTTTGTTTCTTACTAGGGCTAGAGAATCAAACCCAAGGTCTTGTGCATGCTAGGCAAGCACCCTACCACTGAGTTACATCCCTCAACCCTTTCCCTGTATTATTTTTATAGGTAAATAGACAGATGGACAGATACGAAGTTATGTATTTTCCTTTTGGTGGCTTACATTGTAATTATAACTTTACCTAAAACCTTAAGATCTTTATTTTCAAACGCTGTTTACTATCTCCTACCATGAGTAATGACAATCAAGGATGACATAAAAAGGGAAAACAATTTTATATCACAAAAGAATATCCAGTTGTATTCATTTATAGAACTATCTTTTTTAAAAAAAATTAACAACAGTTAAATTTGGGTAGATACTCAGACAAATCGAAACAAAGTGAAAACTGACCATGTAAAGAGGAATTGGAGTGGAAATATTATATAATAGGGCTTAGATATGAAGATTAAAATCATATTCCTACCTCATAGGTAACCAACATTTTTAGAAAAACACAGGTTGTATAATTAAAACTAAACAAAATTTATATGCAGACAGTTACTATTGAATGATCTGAAAGATTTGATTTCTTCCCCCCCCCCCCCCCCCCCCCCCCCCCGGTACCGGGAATCGAACTCACGACCTCACTTGCTTGCCAGGCAGGCGCTGTGTCTCTGAGCTAAATCCCCAGCCCTTGAAAGATTTAAATAAGTGGAAAAATAGCACCATGTTCTGGGGTGGAAGAAATAAATGCCTTAAAGTGTCGTTTCTCCCAAAAATAATTTAAAATGTAACAGAATTCAAAAATGACAGTTGCTGAGGTAGATGGGTACATGAGAATTACTGCATGGTCTTCTCTATTTTTAAAATATATTCAGAATATTTTATAGGATGAAGTTTTTTAAAACTGTAATCCTACTGGCAGGCTTTTCTTTTTTTGGGGGGGGGGTTTGGTTTTGGTTTTTCTCCAGTACCAGGAACCGAACTCACGACCTTGTGCTTGCCAGACAGGCACTTTGCCGCTGAGCTAAATCCCCAGCCCCCTGGCAGGCTTTTCTAAACAGGCTGTTTCTAAAATTTATATGGAGGCTGGGCATGGTGGTGCATGCCTGTAATCCCAGCACTCAGGAGACTGAGGCAGGAGGATTGCTGCAAGTTCAAAGCCAACCTGGGCTACACAGTGAGTTGTGGACCAGCCTAAACTACATAGCAAGACCCTGTCTCAAAAAACAAAACAAAATTAAATTAAATTTATATGAAAAATAAAGAACAGCAAGGAAACCTTTGAAATAGAGACAGTATTTGGGGTAGGAGGGTGCAGGAGGAGTAGTGTTACCGAATATTAAAACACATAATAAAACCTTAATAATTACAACAGTGTATTAGTAGTTCTTGATTGAAGCGATGAGAGATGAATTGGAAAAAATGAAAAGTCTTTGGATAGGCACAACTACATATGACATGTCATATAATTGAGGGACTGGTTTTCTAAGCAAATGGTGTTCTTCATGGTCTCAGCACTCTCCAGACTGAGGCAGGAGGATTTCTTGAGCTCAGGTGTTCAAGACTAAGCTGAGCAACATAGCCAGACCCTGTCTCCAAAAGAAAAAAAACTTAATTTACAAAATAAATTATATACTGTAAATTTTAGTGTCAGATTAAATGCAAATTAATTACTGTAGCTTTCTACTAAGTCCTGATTGTTCTTTTAATAATTGCTTTGGCAATATCATCATGGTGGAAGTGTTAAAAAAAAAAAAAAAATCTGATAGTTTCTGTTTTATAAAAGGACTGCCAGGATGAGGTTGAATGAATAGATCAGCATCTTAATGATATTGGGTCTTTCATTCCTTGAAACCCATGTTTTTTCATTTCTTTAATTTGTCCTGATACTGCTTTACAGTTTTTAACATAAGCATCTTTGTGCATCCTTTAAGTTTATTCTTAAATGCTTAACTTTTTTTTTGTCATTCTTACAGATGTATTTTTTTAGGTTTTATGTTTTGATTAACTGTTATAAACACATAAATTATTTTATTAACCTTGTATTCTGTGTTCTTGCATTTACTTGTTTCTTTCAATAGTTTTATAGATGTCTTAGAATTTTCTGTGTAAACAGTCATTTGCTTCTACCTTTTCATGCTATATATTTTTAATTTTTTTCTTGCCTATAACTCTTTCATTAAAATAGGAAACAATGAGTCCATTCAGATTTAAATAAATAATCTGAAAGTTATTTACCTATTTACTAATAACCTCCCCACA